TTGCCTGTATACAAATGGGTCTATTTCTAGAATCTCTATTCTGTCCAATTGATGTATATGTTTATTGTTTCTCTAATATTCACACTGTCTTCATTATAGACGGTTTATAGTAAGTCTTTAAATTAGGTATGCCTCCAACTGTGCTCTTTCATTTCTTTCATCAGTGATTTGTAGTTTCAGCATAAACTTGGTACACATATTTTGTTAGGTATATATCAAGTATTTATGGTTTTTCGGTATATCTCACTGTCTTTCAGTGAGATCTGACTCACGGTGACCCCTCCTTGGGTTTCCGAGGCTGTATCACTACAGAAGTAGATTGCCCAACTTTTCTTCTAGTACCTCAATTTTTTTTTTTTTTTTTTAATTTCCAATTGTTCAGTACAGGTATATAGAAATATGATTGGTCTGTATATATTTACTTAGTGTTCTGCAAACTTGCTAAGCTAACCTATTAGTTACAGTAGTATTTTGGTAGGTTGAGATATGCTACATAGATAATCATATTGCTTGAGAACAGACAAAGGTTATTTTTTTCCTTTACAATTATATACTTTTTATTTCTTTTCTTTGCCTAGGATGTACTTTGTGTATGTATATTTCATTTAAATTTGTAATGTTTTCTTTTGAAGACTCTGACTATGATCTATCTGGGTTAATATTTCATATACATGTTGTTGGGTAGAATGTCCCACAGGAGTCAGCTGGTTGACAATGTTGTCAAGCCTTCTAAAATTTAAAACCAGTGAAAACTGAACCTGAGTAAGGGAGAAACCTGTCAGAGAAGGAGGGCTAAATTTTCCACTAAAACAAACTATTAGAAAAGTGGTAGGACTGCACCCTATCAAAGGCAGAAAACTTATGAGATCCTGAAAAACAAGGCAGTCTCATCAATTCCAGCTCTCACAAGTTTCACTATATATCTTTACTGATTTTCTATTTGTTTTATTAATTACGAGAAAGAAGTGTTTAAGTTTCTCTATATAATTGTAGATCTGTCCATTTCTACTTTCAGTTCTTTACTTTTACTTCATGCATTTTGAAGTTATATTGTTGGGGTATAGACACTTGGAATTTTTATGGATTGTTGGTGATTTGGCTCCCGTGATTTTCTCTTTTTGAGGGAAGCTGGAAAGTACTGCAGGATAGCCCATTCTCTTTGGTTTTATTCTATTTTTAAATTTGTCCTCTTAAACTGGATACCAACTTCCTTAATGGTCAGTGATTTTATATCATTATTTGAGCGAAAATGAAATGTGATTCTATTAGTAATCTTTTTAAAAAGTAGTTGATAACAGATAGATCACAAGGATCTCTTCTGATTATCAAAATTCTGATTATTTAAAACATCCAAATATTTCCTATCTTTAAACTTATCTTTTTCAAGTAGTTTTTCACTGAAACAAAAGCACCTGCACTGAATTTTACCTTAGATGAAATTTAGTGGTGTGTTTTTCTGAACTTCTAGTTGGCATTTTAATCAGAGTTTTCAAGATCTAATTGTGCAACTAAATATTTATCAAAATATTCAACATGGATTTTTCATTCATCAATTCTCTGCCTTTTAAAATACAGTCCACCAGCTGCTATACTCTGCTGAAAACCACTCAATAAAGACATCAAATGAACGCAAAATATTATTTACAGCCTGCTCACATGGAGTATACATCTGTGTTCATTTCAGATAAAAGGTTACAATGCAGGTCCAAAGGACTGCGTAGAAATTACAAAATAGTTTCAAAAAAGTAAGGGATATTCCTATAAATAAAGGGTAAATGGTGGAATACAAAGGACTCAAAAGCATAGTCATTACTGTTAAACATTAATCTTCTCTATAGAAATGTTAATAGCCTTTAAGAGTTTTGTTTTGTTCTTGTTTGTTAAGTCATTCTATATGACTGCTGAACAAGCCTTTAATTCCCTTTTTAAAGTTCCCTTTCAAATTGTTAATGGCAGTTCCTAACATTTCATAAGTCTTGAACAGGATTCCTTTCTTTACTCTTAGTTACTGACTGTTGTTGTTATGTGCCATGCCATCGAGTTGGCTCTGACTCATAGCGACCCCTCCTTGGGTTTCTGAGGCAGTATCCCTAGGAAGTAGATTGCCCAACCTTCCTTCCAAGGAGTGGCTGGTGGGTTTGAACCACCAGCCTTCTGGTTAGCAGTCAAGTGCCTTAGGCACCATGCTACCAGAGATCCTAGTTACTAATTAGACCTCTTATTTTACAAGGAAGAGTAAGGCCAGTTGATACACTCCATCATTTCTCTTTGCTCTACCTTAAACTTTTCTCTGTATTCCCCATTGACTAAGGGACATGTCTTTTTCTGTCACCATCTTTTTGTTCACATGTATATTCTCCCTTGCTCAAGAAAATACTTCTTTCACATGTATCCTTGAGTTCCTACCTGCCTTTCTCTGTACCCCATCAACCATATTCTAGGATCTATCTCATACCTTATACCCACTTATAGAACACCATTTTTTGAACACCTAACAAGTGCAAGTCATTGAATTATTAGCAGAAAAAAAATTAAATGAAAATATAATCCTCCTTCCAGGGAACTCACAAAACTGTGGGAAAGAAGAATAGGTAAAATAAACCATTAATCCGGTATAATAAATGTTAGGAGAAAAGGCATGTTTAAGGAAAAAGAGCTTAACTCTGCTTGGTTAGAAAATGCTTTTCTTTATCCTTACCTTTATTAAGCCTACCCTCACTCAAGGGTTCCTCTTTTCTTCTCCTCTTCCTACAAAGAGGTTCAGGTCTCCTTTAACTTTAAACACAGACTATCCCATGATGTTTAAGCTAATATCACTATTGCGCACCCCCTTCACTAATACGTTTTGTGAAAAGATCTCCTATACTCACTGTCTGCACATCTAATCCACTGTCTTTTATTCATTCATTCTTAAGTAAGTACAATCTGGCTATTGATTTCAACCACTACTTGACACTTCTCACCAAAATCAAAGTTGACCATAACGATATCCAATCACCTTTTCTTAGGCCTTGTTTTACACAATCACTCTGCCAAAAGGTTCTATGGACCATCCTCTCTTCCAAAATTCTCTCCTTAATTTTTCTGATACTTTACTCCCCTAATATATTTCTTCTCTTCTTCCCATTTCTGTTCAGTCTTCTCTGATTCCACTTCCTTCTGTTGCCTGATAAAGAGAAGCATTCATGAAGATTTCATTTTGAGACACTACTTCTTCTCTCCATTTATTTCATTTTTCTTTTCTTCATAGAAAATTCAAGCTAATCAGCTCTAAAGTAAAGTAGGGTTAGAAAAAAAATCTTGAGAGCCAGAATGCCTGGTTTCAATTTCTAGTTCCACCAGCTGTGTACCCATGGGCACATCACATCCTGGGACTCCATAAAAGAAGGGCATGGCTTTCTAACGTTCCTTCCAATCCCATAGTCCTACACTTCTCACTGGAAAAAGGATACGTATTTCTGGTCTTAATTTCTCTAATGATCTACAAATCCACATTGTGTGGCATTTAAATATCCCACCTCCAGAATTAATCTCCCAGAGCAAGTACTTTCTTTAAGCTACCTATTAATGTTTAAAGAAGCTTTGGTGGCATAGTGCCTAAGGCATTTGACTGCTAATCAGAAGGTTTGTGGTTCAAACTCACCAGCCACCCCGCAGAAGGAAGAAATGCAATCTGTAAAGATTTACCACCTCAAAAACCTGAAGGGTGTTGCTATGAGTCAGAATTGACTCGGTGGCAGTGAGTCTGGTTTTTTGGTTCTACTAATATTTATGTACTGTTGCCGTTATTTTCCTAAACTTAAAACCCTAACAATCCTACACAATATCTGTATGTTACCCATGCATTCTCTCCTCCTAAATTCCAACCCGCCTTCAAAGCTTAACTCAAAGAGCATCTTTTCCTAGAGCATCTAGGAAAAGGCCTCCCTGGCTGCTTGTAGTTTCTCCTTCAGAAGTCCCAAGACATCCTATCTGTGCCCCTCTCACAACACCTGGCTTATGTTTCCCTCCAGACCCTGGTTCTGTCAAGACAAGATTTAGACCTGATTCAACTTTTTCACTCCCAACAGTACCTCGAGCACTGCCTTGCCTATAGCAGGTACACAAAAACCATGTAACATTTGAACTGAATTAACTAAATTCAATCTAGACTTTGTAAACAATAGAAACAGAGGAATTTTCTTTGAGGATTATTTCCCTCAAGGGAAAATGACTGTTAAATGATGTATGATGATTTAGATGTTCCAGCTCTAAAATAAATAATACTATTTTTAATGAAGAAGCTCATCTTTAAACTCCTTCAAGCTTAAGCAGAAGCTCCTCTTAAACACTCTCAAAATTTAAGCCAACTCAAAAGCACACCAGAAACAGCAATCTTTGTAATGTTGTAATATTTATTTTTAAATGAAAACACATTTACTAAAAGATGTACTCTTTAATATGTGTTTTAAAATATTAAGTATCTCTTTTTTAATTGTTCACAACACAAAATATTTTGACAAACTATTAGGGCTCATGAACTATCATTAGAAGTGTAGATGAAACATAGCAACAACTGATGCCTACTAGAACATGCAGCCAGTACACACGACATTATCTTCTGTTCTAGCCTATACACAGCAGAGAAAATTTCCCATAATGAAATATGCTGCCATTGATTTTCAGCTTCATTACTAAGCTTAAATGTATTGCTCTATTTTTAAAAAGGTAGTCCTCAATTGAGATAATAAAACAAATAGGAGTGGGGTGGTGTGTGGTGTTTTCCAGCTTATGTTATTACCAGGAAAAATAAAAATGCAGCCTAGCAGTTAGAAGAACTAGAATTTCCAAGAGGTCTGAAACAGAAAAGTCAAGGCTTTAGCTTAATTCACCTAGAAGACAGGATGTTTGGGGTGAAGCCTGACAAGCAATACACAGTATTGCTGCAAGAACATTAAATGAAACTGAGAGGAACTGTCTGACGCCTCATTACTGAGGATGCAGAGCAGAATCTGACCTACCTGGTTTATTCCTCCAGGAGAGATCGCGTATGACTGCAACTTCTGCTTCAGCAGCTCTGGATCACTGTGACGGAATGGGCAACCTGACAACAAAGAAAAGCCAGCATACCAATCAGGTTATTTACCCAGGACTTAGTACAATACCACACTCGCGAGACTGTCTAAGCTCCCCTTAATTGTCTAACAACTTATTAATAAAAAAGTTAATTGCCCATGGGTGCAACTGCTTTCCTCTCTTTATCTAAATGACGACTTAGCTGTATGGTTATCAGGGTACTACAGGCTCAAGAGTTATATAAAACATTACAGCATTCTGGGCCTACGGTGCCTATTCAATAGGAAAAGGAAAACAGCTTTAATTATGCTACTTGCCAACAAGAGGGAGAATCACAAAATAGCTATAGCAGTTTTTCTAAAGACATTGCATAATCTCACATTTCTTCTAATATAAAAAATTAAATAAAAGGCATACTAGAGATGGGAGACACATCATGTGAACTAAAGGAAAAATGTGCAAACTGGGAAATATCAAAATCTCACATAATTTTCAGATGCAAATTCTATGCTTATTTTCTGCAGAACAGAATTCATGAGTTTCATAGAAAACAATTTAGAATAGATGCATGTCCTTTCTCTATTATTCCATATGAAAGATAAAAATAAAAATGAACTGCTAAAACAGATGCATGAACTACAACACAGAAAAACTGAAACATGAAAATAGTATTAGGCTAAAATCTAGAATATTTAGATATTTTAGTAAAAAGTCTCCATGATAAGTCAAAATATTTATTTTAAAATTTAATAATAATCCATTTGATGGGGGATGAAAGAGTCTCTTCAATAAATAGTTCTGAGAAAACTGGTTTCCACATGTGGAAACAATGAAATAGGACTCAATCCTTCTATTATACATAAAAACAAATTCAAAATGGATTAAAGACCTAAGTGAGCAAATTAAACCATAAAATTCTTAGAAGAAAATGTAGGAATAAAGGTGTCAGGCCTAGCTTTTAACAAGGGATTATTTACTATAATAGCAAAAGTACAAACAGCAAAAGACAAAAAATAAATAAAAAGGGAACTCAACATAAATGAAAAACTTCTGTTAACAAAAACACTTTACCAAAAAAGTAAAAAGACAAGCTACCAACTGGAAGAATATCTTTGGAAAACATATATCTGATAAGAGTCTAATAACCAAAACACGTGTAAAACTTCAACAACAAAATGACAATCATAAAATGAGCAAAGGACATGAATAAGACATTTACCAAAGAGGACATTCACAAGGCCATCAAACACATAAAAAGATGCTCATCCTCATTAGCCATCAGAGAGATGCAAATCAAAACCACAATGAGATACCATTTCACTCAGGAGCTCTGGTAGCATAGTGGCTAAAAGCACTTGACTGCTAACCAGAAGGCTGGCGGTTCAAACCCACCAGCCACTCCTCGGAAGGAAGGTTGGGCAATCCTACTTCTGTAGTGATACTGCCTCGGAAACCCAAGGAGGGATCACTATGAGTCGGGGCCGACTCGACGGCACATAACAACAACAACAACAAAGGATGGCTAAGATAAAGCAAAACAAAGAATAACAACAGCAACAAAAAACAGAAAATAAGAATGTTGGCAAGGATGTAGGGAAACTGGAACCCTTTTCCACTGCTGGTGGGAATGCAAAATGGTACAGCTGTTGTGGAAAACAGTGTGGCAGGTGCTCAAAAACTAAAAACAGCACTACCATATGACCCAGCAATTCTACTCTTGTTGTTGTTGTTGTTATGTGCCTTCGAGTTGGCCCCGACTCATAGCGACCCCTCCTTGGGTTTCCGAGGCAGTATCACTACGGAAGTAGGATTGCCCAACCTTCCTTCCGAGAATTCTACTCTTAGGTATACTCAAAAAACTTGAAAGCAGAGACTCAGAAACTTATATACCAACGTTCATTGCAGCACTATTTAAAATAGCCCAAATGTGGAAACAACCTACGTGTCCATCAACAGATGAACAGATAAATACAATGTGGCACATACATACAATGGAATACTACTCAGCCAGTTGGAGAAATGAAGTCTGATATATGCTGATATGGATGGAGCTTGAAGACATGCTGAGTGAAATAAGTCAATCACAAAATGACAAATATTGTATGAACTCACATATATAAGAAGTCAAGAAAAGATAAATGTTGAGAAACAAAAGTTTATTAGTGTTACCTGGGGCAGGAGGAAGTGAGAAAAAGAGGGGTCAAGGCTGACAAGAAAATAGCATCGGTTAAGAGTGTGTTTGCACAGCCGATTACTGTAAATGCTGTCAAAAAGTTGTACATCTGTAAAAAGTTGAACTGGTGAAAGTTGTGTAATAGATCTATTTACAACAATGGCCCCAAAAAAATAAACAGTAGCTGCTGAGGCTGCTTATGTACAATCAAACACTTCATGGGATTTGGTTCCTTGGTTTAGAGGTTTAGGGTCATGGTTTCATGAGATATTCCAGTTAATTGGCCTATAACACATGGTTAGTGCTTCTGTTATACTTCCTAGTTCATTGCATAGTGCCTGGGGTCTTAAAACCTTGCAAGCAGCCATGCAACCCATAATAATTGGTCTCTATTCACCCAGGGCAACAGAGAAAGGAGAGTCAGGAAAAGGAGACAGATATGGAACATGTGGCTAATTGCCTCCATGAACAACTGCCCCTTTTGCTGTGAGATTAGAAGACCTGGATGGTGCCTGGCTTTCATTACTGAAATTTTGATCAATGTTTCCATAAAAGAATCCTAATCACAAGGGGGAAAATGCAAAACAGAATGTCAGACTCTTACAGACTCCAAACTTTTTAGAGTAAAAGAACCTCTGAAACTACTGCCCTGAAATAATCTTTAAATTTTAAACCAAAAATATGACCTGAAGTCTTAAAACCAAGTAACAGTTTACCTTAATTAACAAAAAAGGTCTGCCTTAAGTATTATGTTCTTTTAAGAACTATCTATATGGGATCAAATTGACAGCAGCAATTGAAAAGCAGTGAGTGAATGTAAAGGAGGGTGAGAACAGCTGCACAACTCAAAGAATTTGAGAAATGTGACTGTACATGTAAAAACTGCTGAATGTTTTCTGTTTAGGTTTTGCCGTGTATTTTCTCAGGAACAACGAAATAAATGATGCAAAAAAGTAAAATAATAATACATAAAAATTCAGGAAAAAAATTTCATTATAGGGATGTCTAATATATTTTTTAAGTCATATAGATGATGAATTTTTAAGTTCATTAGGAACAACTGTGCATCTTTAATGAAAATGCTAAAATCACAGGTAACAGCCAGGGTACAACCAAACATGTTTACTAAAAATCTTAAGAAAGAATAAAAACATTCATGATAATAGTATAGACTGCTACAAATTATGAAATTTATAAAATGTATAGTATGTACTTTATTCAGATTAGATTTATTCAGATAAATCTAATCATCACTAGATTTCTTCATGTTTATTCAGATCAAACTATAGTTATTTTTAGTACAAGGAAACATCCTGAGAAGCAGCACAACATATGGTTAAGAGTCAAACTAGACTGCCTGGGTTTGAATCTCGGCTTACCACTCACAAGTCAGGTGACCTTGGGTGAATTTTTAATCTTCTTGTTGACTCAGTCACTTTTACTTTCAGAGCTCATGTGAGAATGGAATATAAAGCTCTTAATATGTGCACTCAACATATATTAGCTATCATTATTATTCTTGAAAAATCTGATTATAAAACTGCAAAGGGCAGCAATGAGAAAGAAGTGAAGCTGCATAGGGAATTCTTGGTTAAACCCAGACTCATTAATGTGGACTATTAAATCATTCTCTCACAGTACCAGACAAATGAAAAGTTCCTCAGTGTAAGCTTACAGAAATAACTCTTTTGGAAAAAAGTTGAACTCAGAAGTGTAGAGAAAACAGTTTGAGAAAGATTTTTTTAAAAAACAAATAACTCAAGCAAATTTATAGATACCTTTGCTACCACAAGTTGCTAAATTCCTCACTTACATCTTCATTAAATCAAAAGACAGTAATGAGAGTGAGACACACTTTTCCTGAGTACTCTTGAAAATTAATGGATCTGCAATTCCAAAAGTAGAGTTTGTAAATTTAAAAGCTCTGGAAAACTTTTTTATATCAGTCTTCTAAAACATTTGCAGACTATGAGAAAGACAAAGAACAGCAGGTAAAGGGAGGGATTGAGAACTGAAAAATCTAGTCTAGCACAAACTAAATAAAGTGCAGCTAAATGAATTTCTCTTGCCTGACCCACTTCAGTAATAAGACAAATCACAGGAAGAGTAATTGAGCTCTAGCTTGACACAGATGACTGACATAAGCTACACCCTAGTCATTGTCAGTAAAGCAGAAGGCCATTACATTGTTTCAGTGTTTCCTACAGAGCTCTTGGGTCTCTTATTTAGCAAGCATACTCAGTGGAAGCACTTACCATGATAATCCCCTTGGCTTGGTGGATTGGTTAGAATAATCTTCAAACAACTGAAAGGTGTATAGTCTGTCCTCTTGCCTTCCTTTCCAAAGCTATGACGGATATTATAGGAGTAGCCTTTCTCAAACTGGGGGAAAAAGACAGGGACAAAGTCAGCAATGCCAGCTAACATGACAAAGTTCAAAGCGGTTTTTAAAACAAACTCAGCATCCACGGTCAGATGTACCTTCATACTATATAACATAAATCATTTGGGTCCTTTATGATACAAGTATTTTTTTTTTTTTTTTTTTTAAAGTGAGTTCCAGTAAGATGGCTGAACAGGAAGAAAGACTGCACTGACCCTCTTCAACAAAAAAAAGGGGAACCAATTAACACAGATACAAAAGATAATCCTGGACCCCTAAGCCTTGAAGAGAAGGATATAGAAGTGGACTAAACTCCAACTAGCAGAAGAATTTGCATGAAAACACCAAAAAAGGAGACATACGGAGCTGTGGTCAGGCAGCGATTCTGACGGCACAGACAGCTTGGATATTGCCCAGTGGTGATAGGACCTAAGAATTAACGTAAAAATCAACCCTGCTAGCCAAGGAGTGGACAGAGGACTGTTCTGGTGGCTGGTGAATAAAAGGAGAAGCAGTGAAAAGTAAGGCAGGCTGAGCTGTGGACTTTTGCCTGTCTGGAGGATTCAGCCATTTTCAGTGTTTAATAGCAGTTTGAACATTTTGCATATTTAAAGCGACAACATTCTCCCAGATTCCAGGGACTTAAGAATAAGCTCCGCCTGCCAGGAACCACAAGGACATGCTGGACATGGATGACTAGAAAGGTATGACATTTCCCTTGTTATTATTATACCCCACATCCTCTTGGTAAAAAGACGTACGGTCATTCATCACTTTCATCCACCTTCTAGGCCAGCAGGATTTCCATCCCAGTCTGTGTGCTAGGATGGGGCCTGGGTGCTGTGCCCACCCTGCACCAATTTTTTTTTTCTGTTTTCTAGTTTGTTTTTGTCTGTTTAAAAACTATTATTATTATTACTTCAGTCCTCTTTACTACTTTCTCTTTATTCTTCCCCTCCCAGGTTCTAGTTTTCAGCTTTTTTTCATTCCCCTCTTCCAGGTTGCAATTTTTTTTTCTTTCTGGTGGTTAACCCCATTACTTGTTTTTCTTTTTGTGTTTTTCCCATGGTTTTCTTCATTGTTCTCCTTCTCTACCTTTTTTCTCTTACTGCCCTCTCCTCAGATTTTTTTTTTTTTCTTTTTCCCTTTTATCTTTTTTTTTTTATTACTATTCCTGTGTGATTACACATCATGTTTTTTCTCCATATGCTTTTACTTTTTGGATGGTTATTCAATTGTTATTTTTGTCTAACTGAGTGAAAGACAGCAACAGTCCCCACAGGACACAACTACACCTACACTTCCTGCAGTCTCATTTACTGAGTGAGAGTTACCACTTCCTTCTCCACAAATGGGCCAATGATAAACAACCAACAAGAAGAGCCTGACTCATCCTTGGCTGTTCTTCACAAACAGTTAGAGATTTAAATACAACAATGCCAAGATGTCTCAGAGACAACAGACAATCACAGTACACACAAAGAAGCAAGATAAAGTGGAAGAAACAAGGGAGCAGGATACAGACCCAGAACACATCCCTGAGGAAGAAGCAGCACTGGAACTCTCGGATAAAGAATTCAAAACAATCATATTTAGGTATCTTCAAAGGATTGAGAGACAGACAAAGGAAAACACAAACAAAACCCTAGAAGAAAATACAAAAATACAAAAATGGAAATACAAAAATACAAAACCCTAGAAAAAATACAAAATTCCAAAATTTTGGAAGAAAATACAAGAACAAAATGACAAAATAAATGAAAAATTAGAAATGATTCAAAATCTACAGACAGAAATCGAGAAGATTAATACTAAATTGTCAGAAATAGATAACACACAGAAAGGGCAAAAGAGTAGAACTGATGCAATGGAAGACAGAATTAATGAGATTGAAGACAAATACTTGAATACTTCTTTGGAAAGGTATCAATCAGAAAAAAGATCAAAACAATTTGAAGAAAGCCTAAGGCTCATGTGGGATACCATCAAAGGGAATAACATACATGTCATTGGAATTGCAGAAGAGGAAGAGAAAAATAAAATCACTAAGAAAATTGTCCCACATTTGTTGGGAGAAAACTTCCCTGATATGATGAAAGATGAGAATATATCCATTCAGGAAGTCCAACGAACCCCAAACAGGACAGACCCCCCCAAAAAATCACCAAGACATATCATTATCAAACTCATCAAAACCAAAGACAGAGAAAGACTCCTGAGAAAACATGGGAAAAACAAAAAGTTACTTACAAAGGACAACCAGTAAGAGTAAGCTCAGATATCTCAGCAGAAACCATGCAAGCAAGAAGGCAATGAAATGGTATATATAAAACAATGAAAGAGAAAAATTTTCAACCAGAAATATATACCTGGCAAAAATGTCCCTCAAATATAATGATGAAATTAGGAGATTTCCAGATAAGCAGAAACTAAGGGAATTTGTTAAAACCAGACCAACCTTACAAGAGATACTAAAGGGAGTCCTCTGAACAGAGAA